AAACTTTGCACCTCACCCCATTTTGCACAAATTTCACGGATCAAAGAAGTAGGAACATCCTCCTTTCCTTCCTTCATAATCGCCTTTTGTAGCTGCTTCTGTAGTAACTCCTCCACATCTTCATTGTTAACTTCCAAGCCCATGTTTTTGCCTAGAGAGACAATATCATCGATAACAGCAGAAATACTCTCCTTTTAATATAAAATGTATATAATTATGTATAATTTCAAAGACAAAAGTCTCTGAGTGTTAATTCTTCTTCTTCTTCTACGAATACTGCCGACGCTGATACTCCCAGCTTATCACTCCACGATGTTGACGGCTTGTGTGTTCGTAACGCGAGACACAGTACGTCATCCGAGACGCTTTGTGTTCGGAAAATTTGTTCGTAAACTGAATTGTTCGTGAACCGAGGTTTGACTGTATGGCTGTCTGCAGGATGGTATAGGTTCAGAGTTGGCCACTGTTAACATTGTACATCTGCATATAGCTTCACGATGTGCATGGGCGTATGGCAGCTACCTTTACCTCTTTTTAATCTCTAATCCCGTTGAAATTTGATAACATTTCAGTGTAATAAGTGATCTTAGTACCTAATTGGTATGTAACCAGCCAATAAATTCCTTGTTTGTGGATTTGTTAGTGATGTGATATTTTGTTAACAGACTGGCTCTCGCGATGTTGTAATCGCAGCCCTTGACAACGCAGGAGCGTCTGCTGGTGTTGTTGATGATGATACATCACCTCTTCTTCAGAGCAACGACTTAAAAGACCAGCGCGTAATTGATGAGCAAAACCAGAAGGTATTTTTATAACGCTGTTCACAAATTTGCTGGCATAAAATAAAAGATTACAAATTATAGATTTACATTCTGCCATGTGGCATTTTTTCAGGTTCCAAAGTGGGACTTCACATACCTAAGAGAAGAATTTGTGAATTTACTGAAAGCTCAAATGACAGATGCAAATCAGACACTATTGGCAAATATGTTTGATTCAGACTTTCAATCGCATCTTAAAGCAACTGACGTACTAAGTGAGGTAAGTAAGGCTTCATCATAAGTGTGAAATTTGACATTGCAGTATTTGAGGAACTTAAAGGTGTTATCATCCAGTTCTGGCTGTAAAATATGAGATTGCTCGTTTATTATTGACTGCGGTCACCTGTGTCACATATTGGACGATATGTAAAATTGTGTGGTCTGTAAATATTATGGAAGATCTTTCATTAAAATGTGAAGTTTTATTATTTACTGTGAAAACATGATATATGCGAGGGGCAATTAAAAACATCCTGGAATTGTGATATAGCACTGTAATGGTAGGACATATGGCAATGCTTACCTAATCACCTTCAAAGTAGGACCCTTGTGCGAGCGCACACACACACTTGCTCCATCGATCCTGCATTGTTGGAAGCACTGGCGGAAGGCTTCGTTTGGAATCTTCCGGAGTTCGACTTGATGTCCTCCACGGTTGCGAAACGCGTCCCCTTGAGGCCCATTTTCAGAGTAGGGAACAGCCAGAAGTCACTCGGAGCGAGATCCGGAGAGTATGGTGGTTGGGTGATGACGGGAATGCTTTTCTCAGCGAGGAATTGCTGCACAACCAGCGATGTGTGGCTTGGTGCGTTATCGTGGTGCAGAAACCTCCCGCCCTGCCACATGTCGTGCCGATTCCTCCGAACTGCTTCGCGCAACCTCTGCAACACTTGCATGTAGAAATGACCCGCAACAGTCTGTCCAGGCGGTACGAACTCATGGTGTACCACAACGTTGATGTCAAAGAATGCCATGAGCTTTCCTTGGACCGGACGAGGCGTGATTTCTTTGGTCAGGGATATGACGCTGTGTGCCACTCGGATGACTGCATCTTCATCTGCGGGTCATAGGCGAACACCCATGACTCATCACCAGTGATGATCTTCGTGAGAAATGTCGGGTCCTGCATACTTTTCTCAAACAGGAATTCCGGGAACTTTTTGACTGCCCTACGTATCTGTTGTGCCATGCAAGAAGCTTGCTTTGCCACTGTACAGGATCCATACTCATGAGGAACTAGATTCTTGGTACTTTTCACTAAGAAAACATCCACTCGACTATTTCACCTAGTGTAGCTTGTGGCAATCTCAGGGTGATGAACTTCATGTTCAGAATGAAGTGTCTTTACATTTGTCTTGTGGAGCAGAGGTAAAAATGTACAGTTGATGAAAAACCTGTCTTTCCTTACAACTTATTGGCCGTGTGCCATCCTGAATTCCACATTTTTATGTGTACAGTTTTAAATGGGTGATTAAATAACTTTGTGCATAAAATTAATTTTTAAATTGTTTAGCATTTGAAAGTTTATTGCAGTGATGTTGCTCCATTTGAATTTCAGGACTTGGACAGTAACAGAAATGGAACAGTTGCCAATTTGGATCTCATATTGAAATGGTTCTCGCTGCGATTCTTTAACACAAAGACGTCAGTTTTGTTAGAAGGACTGACATATTTGCGGGCTGTTTTTACCGAATTGATTCCACGAGAATATGTGTTGTCTGATTATGAGGCATCATGCTTCGTTCCGTATCTGATTCCGAAGGTGAGACGTTCAGTAATTTGTTTAAATTATCTTCTGGAAAATTTTTACATTCCTACAGCTTCAGCTTGCAGTTTAGTAATTGTTTTTGAGATCACACAAATCTGATTGAACTTCGTGTATGGTAGGTGATATTAACCAATGTCGTCGGCTCTTGGTGTAGCGACGCCAGCACTGAATTTTGCTGAAATCCATTTTTAGTTTGTCAGAAATGAAATCCATGGATATGCAAATGAACAATATGACTTCCCCATTACATGTTTATTTTATGCACTTCTTCCAAAATGGAGCATTCTTTTGGTATTTATAGATTGGAGATCGTACGGATACTGTCCGAGAACTGCTCAGCCTTATCAAACTGGTGTATCCAGCTGAAATTTTTTTTGCAATTATGATGAAAAGTTTGAAGTCAAGCCAAAATGCAACAGCGCGCGCTGGTGAGTAATATTTTAAGTAAAGGGTCATAATTTGTGCCCAAGTCATAAAAGTGACCTAAACTAGAAAACCGAAAATGTTCTGAAATTTTCTTAAAATATATGCACTTAAGCATTTTCCTTTGTTCTTTAAGTGAAAAATCAGTTTTCATGCAGGGGTCAATTTTTTTCTGACCTTATGTAAGATATTTTTGTCTCTTTATTGTTAAATTAGTTATTTCATTATCTGATTTAACACAATAAGGAGGGATTAATTGAATTGTAACTTCTTTCTCTCGTGTTAGAATTGTTTTGTTAGGATTTGGGTTTCAGTTGCTGTAAATTCTTGAATTGTAGCTTCTAATTTGTGACATTTTATTGTTCTGTGGGATTTGATTTGAGCTTTGTGTGAAATAAGCTGTGCTATGATTTATAATTTTATAATGGAACATTATACCTCATCTGGTCGCCACAAGTACCTTCAAAACTTGCGTCTGGGGTGGCTTTACTTTCTGCAGTACAACTGATCTTTATTTGGTCTCAGTATGAGATCAATTTTGTGACATTAAAGGTGACTAATTTGAAGCTGATTTATTTTTTCAGTGCCACCCAGGTCTATCCACAAGAGAAAATTGGTGACGTATCTGCCACACTTGTATGCAGATTTGGAGGATCGTAATGCAAATGTGAGGAGGACATTGTATTCACTATGAGGAGTCAGAAGCATGTTCAGGTACATCAGATGAGCACTTTTGATGTGAGGGACCCAAGCACTTGTAATGTCTCCTCTGGGAGTTCCCACACAGTGTTTTGAGGTCAGCAGTCGAAGTTTGGCGAGCTATTTCCTTCAGGGCAGCACTGAGATCAGGTTTGCAAACTTTCACTCCATAGTTTTCAATAAGTGATCCAAGATGCTGAAGACATCCTGAAGAATGAAAAATTCCAATCATTAGTGTCACCAAGATACAAAATGTTCCATTACAAAATTATTTCACACAAAGCTCAAATCAAATCCCACAGAACAATGAAATGTCACAAATTAGAAGCTACAATTCAAGAATATACAGCAACTGAAACCCAAATCCTAACAAAACAATTCTAACACGAGAGAAAGAAGTTACAATTCAATTAATCCCTCCTTATTGTGTTAAATCAGATAATGAAATAACTAATTTAACAATAAAGAGACAAAAATATCTTACATAAGGTCAGAAAAAAATTGACCCCTGCATGAAAACTGATTTTTCACTTAAAGAACAAAGGAAAATGCTTAAGTGCATATATTTTAAGAAAATTTCAGAACATTTTCGGTTTTCTAGTTTAGGTCACTTTTACGACTTGGGCACAAATTATGACCCTTTACTTAAAATATTACTCACCAGCGCGCGCTGTTGCATTTTGGCTTGACTTCAAACTTTTCATCATAATTGCAAAAAAATTTTCAGCTGGATACACCAGTTTGATAAGGCTGAGCAGTTCTCGGACAGTATCCGTACGATCTCCAATATATAAATACCAAAAGAATGCTCCATTTTGGAAGAAGTGCATAAAATAAACATGTAATGGGGAAGTCATATCTGTTCATTTGCATATCCATGAATTTAATTTCTAACAAACTAAAAATGGATTTCAGCAAAATTCAGTGCTGGCGTCGCTACACCAAGAGCCGACGACATTGGTTAATATCACCTACCATACACGAAGTTCAATCAGATTTGTGTGATCTCAAAAACAATTACTAAACTGCAAGCTGAAGCTGTAGGAATGTAAAAATTTTCCAGAAGATAATTTAAACAAATTACTGAACGTCTCACCTTCGGAATCAGATACGGAACGAAGCATGATGCCTCATAATCAGACAACACATATTCTCGTGGAATCAATTCGGTAAAAACAGCCCGCAAATATGTCAGTCCTTCTAACAAAACTGACGTCTTTGTGTTAAAGAATCGCAGCGAGAACCATTTCAATATGAGATCCAAATTGGCAACTGTTCCATTTCTGTTACTGTCCAAGTCCTGAAATTCAAATGGAGCAACATCACTGCAATAAACTTTCAAATGCTAAACAATTTAAAAATTAATTTTATGCACAAAGTTATTTAATCACCCATTTAAAACTGTACACATAAAAATGTGGAATTCAGGATGGCACACGGCCAATAAGTTGTAAGGAAAGACAGGTTTTTCATCAACTGTACATTTTTACCTCTGCTCCACAAGACAAATGTAAAGACACTTCATTCTGAACATGAAGTTCATCACCCTGAGATTGCCACAAGCTACACTAGGTGAAATAGTCGAGTGGATGTTTTCTTAGTGAAAAGTACCAAGAATCTAGTTCCTCATGAGTATGGATCCTGTACAGTGGCAAAGCAAGCTTCTTGCATGGCACAACAGATACGTAGGGCGGCCAAAAAGTTCCCGGAATTCTCGTTTGAGAAAAGTACGCAGGACCCGACGTTTCTCACGAAGATCATCACTGGTGATGAGTCATGGGTGTTCGCCTACGACCCAGAGACGAAGGTGCAGTCATCCGAGTGGCACACGGCGTCATCTCCCCGACCAAAGAAATCACGCCTCGTCCGGTCCAAGGAAAGCTCATGGCATTCTTTGACATCAACGTTGTGGTGCACCATGAGTTCGTACCGCCTGGACAGACTGTTGCGGGTCATTTCTACATGCAAGTGTTGCAGAGGTTGCGCGAAGCAGTTCGGAGGAATCGGCACGACATGTGGCAGGGCGGGAGGTTTCTGCACCACGATAACGCACCAAGCCACACATCGCTGGTTGTGCAGCAATTCCTCGCTGAGAAAAGCATTCCCGTCATCACCCAACCACCATACTCTCCGGATCTCGCTCCGAGTGACTTCTGGCTGTTCCCTACTCTGAAAATGGGCCTCAAGGGGACGCGTTTCGCAACCATGGAGGACATCAAAAAAAAGAAGATTCCAAACGAAGCCTTCCGCCAGTGCTTCCAACAATGCAGGATCGATGGAGCAAGTGTGTGTGTGCGCTCGCACAAGGGTCCTACTTTGAAGGTGATTAGGTAAGCATTGCCATATGTCCTACCATTACAGTGCTATATCACAATTCCAGGATGTTTTTAATTGCCCCTCGCATATATCATGTTTTCACAGTAAATAATAAAACTTCACATTTTAATGAAAGATCTTCCATAATATTTACAGACCACACAATTTTACATATCGTCCAATATGTGACACAGGTGACCGCAGTCAATAATAAACGAGCAATCTCATATTTTACAGCCAGAACTGGATGATAACACCTTTAAGTTCCTCAAATACTGCAATGTCAAATTTCACACTTATGATGAAGCCTTACTTACCTCACTTAGTACGTCAGTTGCTTTAAGATGCGATTGAAAGTCTGAATCAAACATATTTGCCAATAGTGTCTGATTTACATTTGCATCTGTCATTTGAGCTCCACAAATTGTTCTCTTACGTATGTGAAGTCCCACTTTGGAACCTGAAAAAATGCCACATGGCAGAATGTAAATCTATAATTTGTAATCTTTTATTTTATGCCAGCAAATTTGTGAACAGCGTTATAAAAATACCTTCTGGTTTTGCTCATCAATTACGCGCTGGTTTTTTAAGTCGTTGCTCTGAAGAAGAGGTGATGTATCATCATCAACAACACCAGCAGACGCTCCTGCGTTGTCAAGGGCTGCGATCACAACATCGCGAGAGCCAGGCTGTTAACAAAATATCACATCACTAACAAATCCACAAACAAGGAATTTATTGGCTGGTTACATACCAATTAGGTACTAAGATCACTTATTACACTGAAATGTTATCAAATTTCAACGGGATTAGAGATTAAAAAGAGGTAAAGGTAGCTGCCATACGCCCATGCACATCGTGAAGCTATATGCAGATGTACAATGTTAACAGTGGCCAACTCCTCAGAACAAGCCCCACCCACTGGCTACCAATACTGAGCAGAATTCTACCACCAGCAATACGTAGACAAGATGCCTTGTTACGTGAATTTAAGAAACTGCAAAGAAATTCTAACCTCCCAGTTCACGACGACATCCCTCATCTTAATCTCGAAAGACTGAGATCCAGGCGACCCCCAATAGTTACTGCAGAACGCCTTCAAGCTGGCAATTTTAAAAGCAAAATTGCCTGGGCAGCAAAACAGCCATAGAAACCCTCAGAAGTTACCAACGGGACAAGACCTCCCTCGACAAACATGGAAAACCCTCAACAGAATCCGCATTGGCCGACGCCCTTAACAAATGGGGAAAACTTTAAACAGCCGACTGTGACTGTGGTGCGAGTCATCAGAACGTCAAACATATTGTACAGGATCGCCACCTGAGCATTTCCACCAGAACTTGAATGGATTGCCAATCTTATAGTACTGTATTCTAGTATAGTATTATTATATTTGTAATGTTCATCATATTCTTGTATTTCATGTGTTGTAATATAGCCTTAAGATAAATAAATCATGGCCTTAAAAGACTGATTTCTCTCACTGACATTATTTACTGCTAATGCAAACACCGTCTGTTACTCGAGATTGTACTCAAAAGAAAATACCAAAGTACCAAATCACCTCTGATACAATTACCTGAAAAATTTTCAGTAAACCAAAGAGAAAACTGTAGTGTGAGGAAATCATTAGTTTATTGAACTCTTTACTACGAACAATTATTCTGATCACAAGGAACATTCTAACCTTCTCCATCCCCAGCTGCTTCGGCAGCCATCTTGGCCTGCTTCTGTTGCTGCGACATGAGGTAACGAATGGCCAAGACAGTCTCGTCTTTCACTTTTTCAAATTCTGACACCTGTATTGGAGAAAACAAAGTATCTACCTAATTAAAAATACGTAATGAACATGTTAAAACAATATACAAAGTCAACATTTAGGGTATCCTCTATATATTACAGAGAATGGGTAGTAAATTAAAAGATGTTTATTTAATAACATAGCCCCGATGATAAAGGCAGCAAGAACCTTTGAAGTGGTGGCAAACGTCTACCGGACTACATGACGCTACAACCCAGAAGACGGCTATCTTCATGTGTACAGTGCTCAACATGGTTTGAAGAAGGAGCATCAATATGTCAGGAAGGATTGGAAAATAACTGGTATGAAGTATTCAAAGACAAAAAACAAACTAAACTTAAATCCGTACCTCAAATAAATGCTTCTCTTTCTGCTGAAACTAAATTCTGGAACCCTGGTCTTAAAAGGCAAAATGCTGATGTTGAGAATAGTCAACATAACCTTCATGCTGAACATAAACCAGACCATTACAGGTGGTGATGGAAGATTATTCAGATGATGTAAAAATCGTACTGCGTTTATGTCAAACCTCTCCCACCTATCTCATCTGTCAAAGTTAGCCGCTTGATCTTAACACTGTACCATTTCTAAAACAGAAAAATCACTCATGTTCTCAAGGTATAAGAATAAAGCTTACCTGAAATGTATTAAGAGATTTAAGTTGGGGGTTTTCGAGCATCACTGATCCACCTATAAATTTCAGTCACCAAAGTTTTCCCTTCTTCTCTTACACATTCATCTCTGTCTTTTATTAATGGTTTTATCTTTACAACCTTTGAGCCAAAAGTCCTGCAAAGAAAGTGTCGGACGTATTATTAGTGTTATGTAAAGTACAACAGCGCACGAGGAAGACTTTCACACGCATCCCTTTGGATTACAAAGACCGGCGTCAAATACAGGGACCGTAACATTGTAAAAACACAACCGAGTAAAATCAATTCCTTCGTCGGTAATTAGATTAGTTGATGAAGTTGCATAACTGCAGTTCTGCAGCAATGAATGTGAGAAAATACATAGTTACCATCACTGTTATTTTGTAATGCTATATCAGCTGTCAAGGTTATATAGTACCAAACAACATATGGCTGGAACAACATATATGATAAAAAGGGAGAGATGTGGAGTTGAAATGTTAAAGATAGGAGGACAGAAGAAATCCAAAAGAATCACAGAATTATCCCACGTTTATTACAAACAGACAGTCCCATTAAGAAAGAACACATGGTAAAGTGGAATTACTTACTGAAAGGGATTGGGGGGTGGGGGGAAGCTGAAAGATACTATCACGTGTAACATCCTTCAAGAATAAAGAAACTGAGATCCTGTGTAACTGCTGAGACAAGCTGAAACAATGTTTGGATTTTTATGTTCTATTCCTTTCAGAAGTTCCTCCTGAACAGCTTCAAATTTCTCTTTTCCTATGAGAGTAATCTGAACAGCCAGTTGCCTTGTTCTTGCTTTTGGTGCAGCAAAACACTTGGAAATAATTCCAGGCATCACTTTTCCAACAGTTCTGTAACCAAACAAAAACAAAATGCTCAACTCATTACCACACACACAAAGTATGATGATCAAACACTCTGTAAGTTTCTTTAAGAAAGGAAAATAGGCTGAAAATCATACAGAATAAAGAAATATTTTATTATTATACGCTGCATCTATGTGTACTCTATTGAAATGTATTAAATTAAATCCGTGGCGTAACAGCTCCAGAGAGCCAAAGCCTCACGTTCACATGCCTAAGCAGAGGTGAACGATCATCCAACCAGATACAGGGTGACGTGTGGTCAGCACGACGAACCCCCAGCCATTGCTGGCTTTCCTGACCGGATTGTAGCTCCCCAATTTCTTCACGATCCTGAGTTGGCACCGGTCCCATACACCGGTCGAAAGCTCATGAGAAAATTTCTCCCCCGAGACTCGAACCCGCGCGCATTCCGTCCGAAGCACGATGCCTCAGACCGCGCGGCTATGGCGTTGGACATTGAAATGCATATTCTTGTGTTTTCTAGTGAAATGTTCAGGCATCTAACAAATTGCATTTTGATTAGTGAATTAAGTAAACATTCGCTAACCCCCACCCATAATCCTCGAAAGAAATGGGCTCTTCAAAATATCTCTACTTTTATGTTTATGTAATCTGTTGCATCAAAAAAAGAGTTCCCACTCCCTCACAAAGGCAGACTGTGAAGAATAATATACACAGCAGATGTACACCGAAGGTTGCTTAGGATAATATTTGGACCTAAGTGTAAAGGAAAGGTAGAAGGTTGGATGAAACTGCATACTAGGATTTATACTTCATAAAATATTATCAGGAGGATGTAACATTAATGGAGATGACAAGAAATTTATATAAAATGTTGGTTGAAAGAACTCAAAGGTAGAGCCCACTTGAAGACTTATTTATGGATGGGACAATTTTATTTGAATGGATCTTAGGGTAATGGTTGGGGGGTTTAAACCACATTCAGTTGGTTCAGGACAGAAAAGACTGTATTTGGCGCACCCTTTGGGCATTACGAATATAATCGCTTATGTTTTGGTTTATGCGATGTTTCAGTCCCTGATGGACAAAGTATTGGGAGATTTAATAGGCAGGGAGGAGGTCTACTGCTACACGGATGACTTAATGATTTTCAGTTCTACTCCTGAAAAGTACGCGAAAAGGCTAGAAAGAAAGACCCATGGCCTGTGCTTCTGGACAGTTACACGAACACGAACAGATATTGAGCTCTAGTGAATTAGAACTTTTAGCTCTTGTGTGGGCCACACGTCACTTCCGAAGCTATCTGTATGGTCGTAGCCCGATCTGACTATCGAGTATTATCTAAAGAAATTCTCAGACACCAACTCCCGGTTACTGAGATGGTCTCTCAGATTAGCGGAGTTTGACTTCACAGCAGAATTCCACCCAGGAAAGTTTATGCAGCTTGTAGACGCCCTAAGTCGACACATCGTGACCCTGAAAAACGACCCCTTGAGTCGGGAAAACATGGCGACAGGTTTTGTCAGATTGTCTGTAGAAATAGCTTTGACAAAGGTCAGTTTTATCTTGACAAAGATGGCTTACTACATCGGCGAGCGGGAGGTCATTGCCCCGATCAGGTGGTAATACCACGTGGGTTAGTAAATGACGTCATAGCCT